TATCATGCAAATAACCTAAATAATTAAACGTAGAAATATTTGTATTCTGATTTCTTCACTTGACTTTTATTTTAGATGAAATAACCATCCATGATCATGACAATATTGGCTTCTCACGTTTCTTTGTTACTCCACCTATTGACGAGGTTCTCATCTACCGTAGGAAGTAAGTATAAGAAACTTTTGGTTACTTAAAATTTGGTTTATTTAACTAATATTATACTTATATATAAATATAATGGATAGGATTTGGGAAAGGATAAAGAAGAGAATGGAGGATGCAGGAAACCATAGAATGTGACTTGCATAAATGGCGGTTCTATTAGTTTATCGTTTTCGTATTTCTCTTATCATATGTTTAAGACTTAATGGCGTGATGTTATCGTTACTATGTTTACTTATGTTTTAACTTAAACTCGGTACTGCGTTTAAATAATTATGTTGTTTTTAATCTAAAAACTTTAATTGCTGTTATTTATATAATCAGTGTAAAATATCTGATTAGTTAACTTTAGAAAGAAATAGTTAAACCATATATACACTACATTCGTATTCATAATAATTAATAGTTAAACCAGATATACATTAATTTGAAAGATTCATATATATCTCTATCATATTTTCTGTAACCTTAGAAGATTTTATCTTATAAATCTTACATACTTGTATAGTCATAAAAAAATGTGAATCTAAATAAATCACATATTTTTAATATGAAGAAATAGTACATATGAAAATCTAGAAATTTAGTAGTTATTGGTAGTTATACAAAATAGAAAAGTAAACTTATGTGCCAAAAATATTGACTGGAATTCTATTTACCCACAATGGTCACATATTTACACGCAAATAATAAAATTTAAAAATTTCAATATTTAGCCATTTAGGAAATAATTGTAAACTATACATTTTACTCATCTTTAAGGTTTAGGGCTTTGAAAAATTATTAGTAACTATTTAAAATTATTAAACTCACACGTACCAAGATTATTAGTTTAAAATCCTAAAGACTACATCCTTAAACACGCGTATAAAAGAGTTTTTCATTATTCTTATTAACAGAATAAATAAACACATGTTTTTAGCTTAGAATCTAGGCTCTGTTTAGTGTTTAGTTATTAAAAAAAATTTACGTAATATCTCAGTGTTGGCTATGACATTGATCAGATTTGTGGGTAACACTAAGAAAGAAATCACCGGAAATGTTGATATCAACGTTGTTATTACGTGGTTACAAACAACGTTGAAAGAAAAAAAAATACAGATAAATCAAAATATTATTGTATGAACGAATAATCATAAAATTATAAATAGTGCATATCACAGTGTTACTTCAGGCGGTATAATTATGTCAGTTGAACTTGCCAAAGATTATAAATAATTAGATTCCCCTGTCAAAGTTATTTCATGCAAAAATTATTACAGATTGATTTGCTTTATTCTGCATTGAAAAGTAATATTCTATCAAAGTAATATTCTATTTATAAATTTGTAATTATTCCATTTTGGCCTAATGAACCGAAAACAATTAAGGGTTGTGGTTTCAAGTATGATTTACCAAGATCTTCTATTACGAAGATCCGAAATATTTAAAATTAATAAGGCTGTATCATCTGAATTTAAAGCTTGCAGGTTTTCGTTTTTTTGTAATATACTATAATGTTTCAATATTTACTATTATAATTTATAGACATTGTTTCTTATTAGTTTTAGGGTTATTCTATTTATCTGGAACATTGTATTTAGACAAATGAGAATTGATGTCATATAGTGATACACTCTTTCTCTAAGTAATATGAACTCCAATGCATTAAACATTTTTCTCTCATTTCTTCACTTTGCTTGAGGACAATCAAAAGACAGTTTGCCAAATCGTTTCTTAATTATTTATTTAAGTTCACATTTGAATCAATTGTCATTTACTTTTGTTATTTTTAGCGAAACGTAGTTTAAGTATATAAAACTCGTCTTTAAAAGTATAAACGTCGTTTCAAAAGTATATTAAGCCTGAATCGTTGCATAGGTATTTAAAACCCGTCTTTAAAAGCAAAACCGTCGTTTCTAAAGTATATTAAACCCGCGTTTTAAAACATAATAACCGTTTGTGGACTCCGTCTTATAAAAAAAACGTTCATTTGTCTCATTTTTCATCTCAAACCACAAAAAAATAAAACGAATGGCTCCATGTAATAGAGTTTCTGAACTTCAGAAGATAAACGGCGGGCAACGTATTTGTGCCCAAGTTGTTCGAAATTATTATGATTTCACTAACATTCATTACCCTCATCGGAAGTTAGTTCTCGCTGATGAATTTGTAAGTTTGTAAGATTTTTAAAATTTATCCCTGTTTATGTTTTGGGAATGTAATCGTTTATTGATTCTTTTTTACTAAAACTGTGTAGGACAATCGCATCCTCTTTACCATGCCATCTGAAATAATCAACAAATTCGAGGATGTATTGCTCGAAGGAGAGTGGTATTTTCTTGGTAATTTTGCAGTTACCGACAGATTACCCCATCCAAGCATATCATCAAACAACTGTCATATACGTTTGAAGAGGATACAATCACTGAGAAAACCGATCCGAAGTCTTCCAGAGAAATATACTCTTTCTGTGCATACATAGATATTTTGCTTGCGTCGATTCAAACTGACCGATATCTTGGTAAGTTTCCTATATGCATGTTATTATCTTGGTTTATCTCATTAACTTATAAATGAATGTTTAAAACTTAGTTGTTTAATTTTGCAGTTGATGTTCTCGGGATTGTCACTTTTGTTCAGAAACTTCAAAGTGGAGTTCATATGTCTGATACATCGAATACACCCACAGAACGTCCACTTATTCGTTTTGTACTCGAAGATCTTGAGTAAGTACAACTTGTCCTCATAATATCTGATGTCAGACTTGGATTTCTTTATATATTAAAATATGTTAATTATCTTCTATGTTGGTGTAAATATATACAGTGGAAATTCCTTGAAATGTATTGCTTGGGATAACTTGGCAAGAAAATTTGAATAACTATGGACGAATCGTGATAAATCTTCAAGACACATTATTGTATTGTGATTTTTCTCTTTCAATATGTGGAGAGATATGTAAATATTAACTATTAATATCTATCCAATACAGCAATTAATCAGAAGATTAACAATTTTATTGTAACCACATGCGTTTAATCAGAAGTTTAACTAATTTATTGTTTCCACATGCGTACTGAATATGTATATGTAATTAGATGAGTGGATTGTTGAATCGGAAAGATTCATATCTGATATTCTCGAGGATCCTCCTACTCCAGAAGTGGCAATAGCAAAAATGAGATATGTAAATTACATATTTGATGTTATATCCTGTATATGTATTCTATTGACATCTATTTTGTGATTTTATAATATTGTCATATTGTTCCAGGCTTGAAACTTCAGTTGATTTTACCCATTTAAAATATTTATAATCGTAAATATATTATGTAAACAACATAAATATCATATCATTTACATCATTATAAATATTTTATATTTCAAATATGACCATTATTTTTCATATGTGAATTTTTTTTTTCAAAAATTCTAGATATTTTTGATAAAAATGTTTAATAGTATAGAAATTATTTAAATTAGAATCTTTAAATCAAATCTAAATTAATATCTAATTTATTATTTTTAATCAAATCAAATCAAATCTAAATTACCTATATTTAAGGAACTCTAAAAATATTTAAATTAATAACTAATTTTCGAAATTAAATATAAACAATTATTAAAATTATTTTTAAACACTTAAAAAAAATTAGGAATGTTTGGAAGCAAGTACTAAATGTGCTTCTGTTTTAATATAATAGATATTTAACGTTATACAAATTATGGTTTGATTCTTACACTTTAAACTCAACAAACTTTTGAAATATGGTTAGAATATTAATTTTAAAACACAAAAAACTGTTCAAAATGTTGTTTGAGTATTATATTAAAAATTAAAAAAAAATTTGAAGAACATCAGCCACCTTGTATCATACGTAAATAACAGGAAGGAAAATAATACTCTTTATATCCCAAATATAAGATGTTTTAAATAAAATCATGGACATTAAGAAATTATTTTTCTTAAAATACATTATTTAGTTATAAGTTAAAAACATGATTTCAGCTGATCATAAGAAATTCAGAATTCAAAGAGTTAAAAAAATATCAAATTGCATAGAAACTTGTAATTTATACATCTTATAAAATGAAACAAAGAAAAAATTCTTAAACACTTTATATTTTGGACAAAAGGAGTATAATGTTACTGTAAAATCAGTGACTTTAACTTGAATACATTCAAATTTGAAGTTAAAAGTGAAAGAAATAAAAAAAATTATGGTACTAAGAGAGCGTCACAATCCCTAGTCAAAGTTTAAAAAATTATACAACATTTAGTATTTTCCATCGTGGCTTATTGTTTTTGTTCATCATTAAAATCTTCAAGCCTGCTTCGTATGTTACCCTTGAAAAGGCTTTAATGTGGTCATTGTTGGTGGTACGCTTCGTTACCCGGTTCGGACCGGTTAAAGACCGAGACCAGCCCAATTAATCTCGGTTTATGACAGTTTTAGTCGAAATGGGCCTAGTCTGACAGCACGGCTCACAGGGAGACAGGCCTAGCGACAAGTGGCGGTGAGAGTCGACGGGGAAATCCTAAATCTTCTCCTCGTTAATGTACTATAAATAGAGGGCTCGTTACTGTAGAAGGGATCCTTTTTTGGACCCGGAGACATAGAGACCTCAGTATTATTGTATCCAGTTCGTCGAGAGACCTCCGAACTAAACGAACTGTAAATTGAAACTGAATTACATAAAATCAATCTTTCGAACTCGAATTACCGAACCGACCCTAGATAGTTGAGAACCACAATCAACAATTGGCGCCCACCGTGGGGCCGATTCGGTAATCGACCTCGAAGACATTACAACTGACGAAAGACAACCGACCTCGGCCCAGGTCGGAAGTCACATGACAATCTGTGAGGACAACCCCACCCAGGTCGGAGGACATATTGGCGAAGATGTTCATAGTCCTGTGCGACCTCAACCTGATATGCAACAGACTAGAGCGGAACCGAGCTTGAGCACTGAAACCCGCCATGTGTCGACAGCTGCCTTCGATCCAACCACACTCATGAACGCCTTCGCTGCTCAAATGCAGGAACTGGTCCGAAGCAACGATGCCAAATTCACGACTCTTACCGCACAGATTTCTAGCTTGCAACAAGAGAGTCCGCTTAGACGACGAAACCTCATCAGCGACTTTCAGGGAGAGCGAGACCCGCAGCACACAGCGGCACGGTCGGTAATACAGCAACAGCAACAGTTCGAAAGCCCATCCCAGCAAGTGCGAGCTCAGCCGACTGCACGCGACCTAGAAATCGAACGGATGCAGGCCCAACTGCGAGAGATCAGTTCCAAATTCCACCAAGCCAACAGCTCGGCACCTGATATCGACCGCATAATCCAGGAAGCACAGAAAACACCATTCACTTCCCGAATTACCAACGTTCCCGTCCCCAATCTAGAGAAGTTCAAACTGCGTTCGTATGAGGGAAACTCGGACCCAAGGCATTTCCTTACATCGTTCGGCATCGTAATCAATCGACTCAAGTTCACCTCGGCCAAACAGAAGGACGCAATTCAATGCCAATTGTTCGTTGAACACCTTGAGGACATCGCACTAGATTAGTTCTCGAGATTGGAAGTCGACTCCATTGACAACTACAAGAAGCTATCGACCAAGTTTGCGAAGCATTTTTCAATGTTCATCGGACAGAAAACCCGTAACTCTGAATTGTGGAAAATATCACAAGGCGAAACCGAGTCACTTCGAGACTTCATGGCATGATTCAAGCAGGTCGTGGCAGACTGCACGGTGGATGACGCAGCCGCCCTCGAAGCGCTATACCAGAAAACGTGGTACAAATCCCCCTTTCATAAGGAGCTTCGCAGGAATAGACCACTCACTCTCGAGGACGCGCTTCACAAATCGAACCTTTTCATCGCGGAAGAAGAGGAGGAAGCCGCCAAGGATCGGCAGTATTCAGCGTCAAAGCCCGACCAAACATTGACTGTCGAAGACAACTCGGAAACAAAAACCCAGTCCGGCAAGCAACGCGGAGTAGTGAACCAGGCCGGGCCATCAAAGCACAAGTCAGGACGGCCACCAAAGTCTTGGAACACATGGAACAGAGAAGACGATACACCGCTGAGTGAATGTTTTTGCGAGTACCACGAGCGATATGGGCACAGCACGAAAGAATGCCGGCATTTGAGGGACTTCCTACTTCAACAGTTCCGCAAGGGGGAGGTCGCCACCACGGATTTGCCTAAGCCCGGACCCCGACGGCCGAACCTGCGACAAAACAAACCCGGGAACCAGGAGACCGCGAAGGCAGCTAAGTCCGACGAAGAGCAGGCCACCCCACCTAAACGAGACCGTGAAGCGCCTAAACGGGAAACGAACGTTCCCAAAACCAGGAAGAAGGTCAACATGATCATGGGAGCCCTCGAATCATGCAACTACTCCGTCAGAGCACTGAAGGAGTATAGCCGGCAGGCATCGAGTTCGCAACCCCAGACAACGGTAGCCACTGTACCACTATTATTCACTAATGCCGACCTGCGGGGAGTGTATATGCCTCATAACGATTGCCTCGTCGTCGAACTTCAACTCGGAGACGTTGAAGTAAGTAGAATACTTATTGACACCGGAAGCTCGGTAAACGTCATATTCAAAGAAACTAGAACAGTCGGAACGGTGAAGATACCAATCTATGTTGGTGGGTCAGCACGGATGATCAAATTCTTAGTCCTCAACAAGCCGGCGATATACAATGCTATTTTGGGAACATGTTGGCTGTTCGACATGAAAGCTGCCGCATCGACATTCCATCAATGTGTTAAGTTCCCGACCCCGTCAGGGATCTACACCCTTAAAGGAAGCCAGACCGCATCTCGATTATGTCACCTTACCGAATGCAAACTCAGCCTTGCGCAAACATGCGTCATCAGCCCTTTTCAGGAGGACCGCGCGGCCGCGGTTAGTCAGTTCGGGCCACCAAAGCAGAGCCGAGTCGAACAGGTCGGCATCGACCCGACGGACCCAGAAAGATATGTTGGTATTGGGGCCGAACTCGACAACAACATTCGGGAAGCGCTCATCAGTTTCCTCCAGAAGAACGTCGAAACATTCGCATGGTCACGAACTAAATATCGACCCTACTTACAAACCGATCAAACAGAAGAGACGCAAGCTCGGACCCGAGAAAGCACGGGCAGCCAACGATGAGGTTGAGAAACTACTTAAAGCCGGCTTGATCACGGAAGTTCGGTATCCGGACTGGTTAGCAAACCCGGTAGTCGTGAAGAAAAAGAACGGAAAATGGAGGATCTGCGTCGACTTTACCGACCTGAACACAGCATGTCCCAAAGACAGTTTCGCACTACCCCACATTGATTGTTTGGTAGAAGCGACAGCCGGCAATGAACTGTTATCTTTCATGGATGCTTTCTCGGGGTACAACCAAATACTGATGCATCCGGATGATCGGGAAAAGACTTCGTTCATCACAGATCGGGGAATCTACTGCTACAAAGTCATGTCCTTCGGCCTCAAAAACGTAGGCGCCACGTACCAAAGACTCGTAAACCGTATGTTCGCCAGTCAGCTCGGGAAGACGATGGAGGTGTACATAGACGACATGTTGGTTAAGTCTCTGTACGCCAAGGACCACATAGCACACCTATCGACGTGTTTCAATATCCTTAACGAGTACGCAGGAGATTTCCTCGGCTATATCGTCACAGAGCGTGGTATTGAGGCCAACCCTAAGCAGATATCTGCAGTCTTGGACCTACCTTCCCCGACTTCAAGGAGAGAAGTTCAAAAGCTCACAGGTCGGATCGCCGCTCTGAACAGGTTTATTTCCAGGTCGACCGATAAGTGCTTGCCGTTTTACCAGTTGTTACGAGATAACAAGCATCATACTTGGAGTGCAGAGTGCGAAGACGCCTTCAAGCAGCTGAAAACGTATCTCTCGACCCCCCCCCCCGATCTTAGTCAAGCCCGAGACCGGTGAAACGCTCTTCTTATATATCGCGATTTCCGCCTCGGCGGTTAGCAGCATTCTAGTCCGAGAAGAAAGGGGAGAACAACGTCCACTATTCTATGTCAGCAAATCACTAAGTGACGCAGAATCCAGATATCCAACCTTAGAAAATTGGCGCTCGCAGTGGTAGTTTCTGCTCGGAAGCTTCGACCGTACTTCCAGTCTCATTCTATCACCGTCCTGACCGACCAGCCGCTCCGCACCATTCTTCACAGTCCAAGCCAGTCAGGTCGCCTCGCAAAATGGGCCGTCGAACTAAGCGAGTACGAGATGGAATACAAGAATCGAACCAGTGCAAAGTTCCAAGTACTGGCCGATTTTCTGATCGAGCTTCCTAAAGAATTCGTCGTCGAACAGCCGCCCCACGAACTGTGGACATTGCACGTTGATGGATCATCATCGCACCGAGGATCGGGTGTCGGAATTCGCCTGAAATCCCCGAACGGCGAAATCCTCGAACAATCATTCCGTCTTGAGTTCCCAGCATCCAACAACGAGTCTGAATACAAGGCCCTACTTGCCGGACTGCGACTAGCTAAGGAACTTGGCGTAAAACATCTTCACGCCTTTTGCGATTCGCAGCTCGTTGCAAGCCAGCTAAGTGGTGAGTACACGACTAAAAACGACCGAATGGATGCGTACTTGAGAGCAACTAAGACGCTCATTTTGGAGTTTGAAACGTTCAAACTCACAAAAATCCCTCGCGGAGAGAATTCGTCAGCAGATGCCTTAGCCGCTCTAGCCTCCAGTTCCGACCCACACATGAAGAGAAAAATCCCGGTCGAGAGCATCTACGAGCCAAGCATCAAAACCGTACAGGAATGTAACGTTGCCACCCAGCGACGGAACTACGACGAAAACCCAAACCCGATCCCGCCAAAAATGCAATGAAGGAATCCGGCACGCACGAGCGAGGATGCCGAGCAGGCTCCCGAAGATTCAATTGCCGACCACAATTTTGAGCACATAACCGAAGGAATCCATAACCCTTCAACCAATGAGAACCAGGGAAATGAGCTCTCCGAAGATTGGATAGCCGAGCTACGAGATTACCTCCTCAACAGAAAAATCCCCGAAGACAAATGGGCCGCTCGCCGCCTTAAAGTCCAAGCCACCCACTATACAATGCACAAGGATAAACTGTACCGTTGGAGCGCGTCCGGAGTACTCTTGGCCTGCGTTGGCGGAAACGATACAATCGAAATCATGCAAGAAATCCACGAAGGATCCGGTGGCAATAATTCGGGAGGACGGTCCCTTGCCTTGAAAATTAAAAAAGCTAGTTATTTCTGGCCAACCATGATCGCGGACTGCGAGAAGTTCGTCATGAAATACGACAAGTGCCAGCGAATGTGCCTACCGAGCTGCTGCAAACCAGTACGGCACCCTATCCCTTTATGCAATGGGCCATGGACATCATCGGACCCTTATGCCGATCAACAAGTCAAAAGCAGTACATTCTGGTCATGACGGATTACTTCACAAAATGGGTCGAAGCCGAAGCGTACCCAGAGATCACTGCCCTTGACGTTCAAAAATTCGTATGGAAGTACATCATTTGCCGACACGGGGTTTCGCACGAGATCGTCACAGACAACGGACCACAATTCATTGCAGGAATGTTCAACAATTGGTGCACAAAATTCCGAATTCATCTTAGTTTCTTGACCCCGCGCTATCCGCAAGGCAACGGGTAAGCCGAGGCGACCTATAAGACCATCCTGGACGGTATAAAGAAGCGTCTCGAGGCTAAGAAAGGCACTTGGGCGAACGAGCTCGATGGAGTCTTATGGTCGCACCGAACTACTCCACGGCGATCAACCGGACAATCTCCCTTCTCTTTGGCATACGGAATCGAAGCCCTCTGTCCGGCCGAAGTTAGCATCCCGACCTTAAGATACGCCGTGCTCCCCGAGAACCCCGATCTCAACGACCAGATGATGATAAACAACCTCTATACCTTGGAAGAACAACGATGTTTAGCTCTCCTCCGAATCCAGAACTATCAACGCCTTGCTGCTCGGTACTACAACAAGAAAGTGCGAGGACGGCACATCGACGAAGGCTACCTCGTCCTACGCAAAGTATTCCATAATACTGAGGAGCTAAATGCAGGCAAGCTGAGCACGAATTGGGAAGGCTCATACCAAGTAATGCGAATCGTCAAGCCCAGAGTATACGAACTCATGCAGCTCGATGGAACGCCGATCCCGCGATCGTGGAACTCGGCCAACCTCAAACGGTACTACTACTAAGTCCCAGCCACCGCGAGCTTGGGCCTCACCTTCTAGCGCCACCAGCGCCCCAAAAAAAAAAAAAAAAAAAAAAAAAACCAGTCCGGCTCTAGCCGAACCCACCCCTGTAAACTGAACTACGAGTGGCTTGATCCCTTGCAAAAAGGTACGTAGGCATCTCGATTTCGAGTCCAGCTACAAATCCAATAAAAATCCATTTTTTTTAAATACTAACTCCACACATCAACTCCCTGGCCAGGAGATCGATCCAAGTATTTCCCACGAATACAACTTCAAAAGCCGAAGTCAGTCTTGCCCGCATCCCCATGATGTTCCATCACTTAAAGCCGGAACCCAATCCGCACCCGCTCCACCGAATAGCGATCTGTCAACCCGGACTCAAATTCGGAAAAGCTCCCTGAGTTCGTTCGCATCGTCATCATAGCATCATAAACTCTCCAATTTAAGGAAAACAAACCGAACTCCCAAAAGTTCGCAAATAAAATACGCAATACGAGGAAAGAAAATTCTAAGTAAAAAGCTGTGGAGAAATATCCGCATTCATTCCAATAAAATATCCGGAATTGCCGAGATAGACGACAACGATATAACGCCAAAAGCCGGCGACAAAACAATAAGTTAAACCCGAACTACGCGGGTAAGATAGCTATACAATCTAAAGACAACATACGGAAGATAATAGAGGAATCTACTGGCGAGCAACAGAAGCCAGACTCTTCAAACTCGCTGCCCGGTCAGCCGAGATGGACTTGGAGTTTGAACCAAACTGATCCAGACCTTCCGGAACCTGTGTTCCCGGAGGGAGCTCGATTCTTGGGATGAGCTCAGCATCGCTTGGAAGAGTGAAGTCTTCATTCCCGAACCACGGAAGAGTAATGTCATCGACCTCCTTCGTGCAGTTCCTCACCCTCCGCTGGTACGTCTCCACAATTTGAGACGGGACGATGAGGTTGTGCTCCCGCCTAAGGAAGCCACAGAATCCGACCAGAGCAGTGGCCTGGTTGAGTGATATATTCATAATTTATCATGTTTAGGATTGCATTTTTTGTCCAAATATTGAGTCTCATGCATACATTTAGCTAGTTTTTTTAGGGTTTGTCTTAGGTTCTAGCTTTGTTTAGGATTTGCATTAGGTCCTAGAGTGTCCTGAACTTTTGGAGTGTTCTCAGGTCATTTGGAGACTTTTGGGAGCAACTTGGAGCTGGGATCGTGGAGGAACCCTCACCTGTGTGCAACAACTCGGACAGATGGTTTGGCGCAGACAAAACCCTCACTTTGATCGCGTGGGACGAAGGACTTGCAATGCGATTCACCTTCCTGAGTCTTCATCAAGAATCACGAGGGTCGAGTCTAGTTTCCAGAACACCTGATATCGTTTTATTTGGAGTTGTGAGCTGAAAGTTACGGCGATCGGACGCAGTGCATGTCTCGGAGCTGATAAAAGACGAAAGCAACGCGCGTCAAAGAATTGGCGGAACGGAGCCTTTGCCGACGTCGAATGAGCTCGAGCCCTTCATAAAAATTAATATGTATGAGTCTTCTGTCTACTGAAACTGGAATTACACCGTTTGGACCTGTATCCTGGAAGTTACTCTCTGCTGAATGCGAAGTGGTCCGAGGAGCCCTGAATGCTGCGAGATAGTCTTGCGACTTGGTTAACTCGCAAGGCCTGAAGATGAATGCCTGGAAGTTGAGCTGCGAAATGAGAAGTGCGGGTAATCTATCACTGGATAAGGTCTGAGGCTTCCGAGCAAGAAAAATGCTAAGTCCACATTCGTGCGACTTAGGCATGCAAGTTGGCTGCGCTTGGAACTAAACCGCACGGACGTTCGCAATCTACACCGACTTGAGCCTGCGACCTGGGAGTAATGAAGACCAAGCCGCACACATCTTTGAAGGCCCCTGCTACATGGTCATGCGAGTTAAGGATCAGAGAAGACTTAGCCGCACAAAGACTCACAATTCACACCTAGATGGGCGGGCGGCTAAGACTAAGGGATTTAAGTCTCACAAGACAGTTTCTTCACATGTGCGGCTTGGGCATGCGACCTGGGAGACTCTTGACCAACTCGCACATTCTCCACTTTAGCCACTAAAGCCGGGTCAGGACCCGGTTTGTTCCGGGCTGACCCGGTTCGTTTTTAAAGACTATAAATAGTTTTTAGGGTTTTTTCCCCAAGACTTATGCTTTATTCCCTTTGTCTCTTGCCTCTTTTGTGAAAAGACTCCACTTAAGAAGAGAAATATCGATTTTTGAGTGTTTATTCAGAAGATTTTGAGAGATCTTTGTGTTTAAAGTTATTTTCTTCTTAATCTATCATCTCCATCTCCATTTCTCATCATTAATCATGCCAATCTTTTCAACTTGCAAAGGTTTAAGAGAGATTAGTATGATTAGTGAGTAGTCATCTTAATGAGGTTCTAGATGTGTAGGTTAGGGTGCAAAAGTGTTAGATTAGGAGTGCTTAGGGCTAGATTCATTGATTCATCTCTCTAAACAGCTGTTCTCTATGCTAGATCCTTGCATATCACTTGAGATTTAGATTCTGGGAATTTCATGCACCAAAAATGTTTGATGAAATTCTTGAAAGAGCTGTATTAGAGGTTTAAGCACTTGCTGCATGATGATGTGTTGTTAATTGCTTGAATGATCATTTAAAACTGTTTATTAATGCATACTGATTCATATTTCACAAATGATGATTTTGTTTGAAAATGGATTAGTGTAAGGGTTAATACCTTCATGAGATGATTAATCTAGATTAGAGTTCTTAATCATTTGAATCATGTCTCATCATTGTCATTAGCATTCCTAGTTTAGCACCAAAGCACCCTAACCAACTATCATGTCTAGAATCTCATGCCTCCATCATATCATATTCATATCACTTGTCATTGTTTAGTACTTCTTAGTCATTAATCTTGTTTTAAGTTTGTAGTTGTCATTAGTCAATCAAAACCTCACCTGTTTACTTGAATTGAGAAACTGATCACATAGCTTAGTGTCTATCACCACATTCTTGGATTGATAACCTCTTTGTGCTACATTGACAAGGGGATCGATAGCCCTGAGACCTAAAAAGTCTTGTCTATCATTGAGCTTGAGGAACGGCGCCTTTCTCAGCTCGGACTTGTCCATGAAGTCCTTCATCTTCGCCAGCTTCCCCTCGCACTTGCTCCTCAGCGCCGCCATCATCTTCCGACCCTTCGACTCGGCGTCCCGGAACTTCCGTCTCTCGGTCTCGCTCGTTTTTAAAGATTTGGATAAAGCATCCAAATCACCCTCCAGCTCGCCAGCTCGTTTCTCCAAAGCCCCGACCTTCTCCTTCAGAGCGACGTTCTCCTTCTCCTTCTCGGTGAAGGCCAGCACGGAAGCTTCATATCGCTCCTTCTCATCCCGATATGTTCGCCCATTAAAGCGGTACGTGAGCTGGGTTCAGAACGTCGTGAGACAGTTCGGATATGACACCTCCAACGACGCCCTCTCTGCAGCAACTTCTGCATTAATCTTCCTCAGTCTCTCGACCTCGGAATCGTACTCCCGAACGAGTTTGTTTGTATCGCAGACGAGCTGGAAATCAAGATAAAGTCAATAACATATCAAAGCTAAAATGCCTAAGTACCAAAAGAAAAGGAAACTTACAGCAGAGGCGGATCTCGCGACCCGGGCATAGGACTTGGGACGGAAGAGGTCCTTCGTCTCGGGCACTGGAGTGGAAGCCGGAACAATCTGCCTGAAGAGTTCGGCGCATGCGAAAGCGTCATCGAAGAAAGACCGCTCCTTGTTGTAATTAAGGCGGACCAAGAAAGACAAGGAATCGGAAACTCGACAGCTTCGACCGCTTGACCCTGAGTAGCCGCGGGCGAGCCCTCGATGTCTCACCGTGAAGAACCATCATCCCTTCGCTAACAGCAGCTTTGGGATCGCCAACCCTCTTCCGAGATGACTTCTTGGAGGATTTTCCTTTCTTCCTCCGCGCGCGATCAGCGATGGTGAGCACGTCCTCGTCCTGCTCACCGATCTCACCTTCCTCCATTTGAGGCTGAGGAGTCGCCTCGGGAACACCAGTCCCCACCTCCTCTGCTGCGGGGTCCGTGACCGGGATTACCGCATCAGCCTGATCGACAAGCGTAGGCTCGAGAGTAGCATCACCGACCTCGAGGCCGACGATGTCGATCGGAGCGTTGTCATCCTCATCATCGCCTGTAAAGTTCATCATTGGGATGTCTGACCTGTCAAACGCCATCCTCCGAGTTTTCTTACTCCTTTTCTTCGGGTTTTTCCTTCGTGGAGCTTTCTTCGAAGAGCTGGGTTCGGCTTGAGTTTTAGCTACAAGTAAAACAATGTAATCAGTCACGACCTCAACATCGCTTTGGAGGGAAACGAGCCGGAATTCATACCTCTATCCTAGGCTCTCTTTATCCTCCGGTCAATCTTCTCCTGGTAAGCTCGGGACCAACGGTGCTGTCCGGCGAGGCTTAGTCGCTTCGCTAGGTCGGTCGTGAGGGAGCATTGCAAGAATCCTGGAACGTGGCGATCTGTACAAATTGAAGAACGGTCAGTACCAATAAAAAAATAAAAGAGTGAACCGTGAGATATGTACCAAAGTCAACACTCCAGCCAGTCCGGAACGTGCTCTCCGGATTCTCAGCGGAATGCGAGTCAACACGGACAAAGAAATAACTTTTGTCCCAGTCCGCGAACTTGCTCGCCTTATTCCCCATGACCAAATCAAACTTCGGATTGCAGTTTGCTGATAGGAACCAGCTCTTGGCCGTAGATACCTTCATAATAAAGAGTTCCTCGAATTGGGCAACGTTGATATGAGTACGAATGTCGCGTTCGAGCTGAAGAATCCCCATAAAATTCACTATGGTTGCGGGCTGCAACTGCGACACCGCGCAACCACGACGATTGCAGTAGGCGAATAGTATGTGCGGCAATGGAAAGGTCAGTCCGGCTTCGCGGAAGTACGCCTCGTAGACACAGATAAAGTCCTCAGGAGCGTCCCAAGGGCGCTCTTCTGGTTCGGGAACCTGAATTATGATGCCGGAAGGAGCCCCGCAGATCAATATGGCGGCCTGAACTGTCTCTGGGGACGACAGTGTAGACTTCATGGGAGCACACACGGATGGCCGATCTATGATCGGCATCATATCTTCGTCATTCGGATCTTGCGCTCCTCCTTCCCCGACCTCCTGCAATAGAGCGTCCTCGTCCGTCTTCATGTCCGGCTCCCGTCCCAGGTCTAAGTCGGCAGGGACTTGACCCTCGGGCTCGCGGAGGTTCTGATCCATCTGCTTTGGAGCCCGAATCGGAACACGACTACTGGACCCGACTTCGATGACCCGAGAATTCTTCCGAACCAGAGAGGCGTTCGAAGAGTGTTCGGTAGATCCCGAACTCGAGATATCAGTTGAAGTTTCCTCCCGGCAGTGTTCGCGGAGGACGGCAGCCTCGGAGTTGGATAAACAACCGTCGACGAGAGAGCACGGCGGACGATGACCGGATATCCTAGAGAGAGAAAGAAGAAAACTTAGAGAGAAGGGAGAGCAAATACCTTGGCGCTAGTAGCGAAAGTAAGAAATGGGGAGAAAAACGAATCATTGTGACTTCTCGAGTTCCGCGCCTCGTAACGTCTCAATTTCTTGCCAAAACTGACACGACTCTTCAGTTCCCCACAAGCGAAAAGACCTTAATACCCTCGTCAAAAACGTCAGAGGAAGGAAAGCACGTACGGGAATCGGGAATCTAGTTTCGCCGACCTTGGTCATCGACCGCTCCAACTTCAAGTCGGCAAAAGTTAGTCAGGTTCATTTACCGAACTGGGGGGGGCATACTGTTGGTGGTACGCTCCGCTACCCGGTTCGGACCGGTTAAAGACCGAGACCTACCCAATTGATCTCGGTTTACGACAGTCTTAGCCGAAATGGGCCTGGCCTGACAGCACGGCCCACAGGGAGACAGGCCCAGCGACAAGAGGCGGTGAGAGTCGACGGGGAAGCCCTAAATCTTCTCCTCGTTAATGTACTATAAATAGAGGGCTCGTTACTGTAGAAGGGATCCTTTTTTGGACTCGGAGACATAGAGACCTCAGTATTATTGTATCCAGTTCGTCGAGAGACTTCTGAACTGAACGAACTGTAAATTGAAACTTAATTAAATAAAATCAATCTTCCGAACTCGAATTACCGAACCGACCCTAAATAGTTGAGAACCACAATCAACAGTCATCAGACCAGTAGCTGCACCAGAATACAATCAAACTCATTGCTCACGCCATGTAGAATCTAGCAAGGACATATGTATCTTTCATGGAGCATACAACTAACCAGGAGAAGTTGAGTAGCAAACCGACTTGTTCCATAAACACAACTCATCAGAGACTCAGGTTGAAGTAGAATTGGGTCCATATAAGCTCATCAGACAAAAGAAGAATCGAATTTATAATCCCGGTGATTCTAGAATATCTTGCTATCGGAAAAAAGAAGAATCGATACAGACCCATGGTCATTGTTCCATGCATTATGGCTCAACCACAAAGATTCAGAGAATGAAATCACTTGGAGAATATTTTCAGCTCATCTAGAGTACACCTTGAAATATAATCAACTCAATATCAGAAACCTCAAAGAAAATTGATTTGTATATTCAGCTCATCTAGAGAATTTTGAAAGTTTGAAGGTGGTGCTCTCCAATCAGAAACCTCAAAGAAAACTTTAAAAATTGTTATACTTTGTTTTATGTTTCTTACTATTAATAATGATTAGATTCTAAACGCGTGCTTCTATATGGGAATTTTTTTAATTAAAAATTTTCCAATGTAATTTTTATTTATTTTTGGTCTTTATAAATAATTTGTTTATGTAGATTTAATTTTTCTGAAATCAAGAATTTTGTTTTCATATTTTAATAGTATTGATTTGTATATTAGTAGAATAAGACTATAAGTTAGTTAAGTATATATTAATGTAAAATTAGTTGTAAATTTTGTACAACCAATTTATATATCTATGAGTGTCCAAATAGACTAATCCTTTTTTTTGATTAGCTCAAATCATCGCATTATCTTACATTTTCTGATTAACTAATACGCATAAGAATACAATCACAAAATCATAATTCTAACTCGTTCTATTATAATACTGTGTAATATATATATATATATATATATATATATATATATATATATATATAACTACAAAATAATTTTGTGACACACACTTAAAAATTATGGCAATATAGCTATTTACCACAAATTTTAACAAAACTAATTTGTGGCTATAGAGTCGTTACAAACACATTTTTATGGTAATTTATGACATATTTATCACAAAATGTCACGATTATATTTTCTAGTAAATTAGCCACGAGTTAGTTAGAAAAGAATTTGTAAATTATTTGCCAAAAATTATCACAAAATAGTTGTGACATATTCTAACGAATAGCCAGAACAACATTCTAGTTAATTTGATACAAATAACCACAAAAATTGTTTATCACAAATTATAATAATTAATGTCAATGTCTTAAAAATAATTAATAATATGTGACTATTCCTTGATTTAGAAATAAAATTGTAAACCATTTTATTAATATTAATAATTTGTAATATTTCCATTATCATTTATTAACCAAATTAATCAATTAAACCTAAACCCTTAAAAAAAACAACTGCCTACGGAGACTCTTCTCCCCCCGACTCAGCCATTGACTCGGTTAACTCGGCCCCTCCCCCCAGTTCCCCTCTCTTGGAATTCCCTGCCCATTCCTTCTCCACATCTCACGAGTCTTCTCTGGCCAACTTAGCTTCTCCGCCATCGACGATTGCGTTTCCGTTTCTCCGTCCACTACGCCGTCAGCTGTTTTCTTTTGGATCTGGGAAAATTGATTAGTTCACTAACTGAACAGGTCAGACCATCTTCTTCCTAATTAATTGTATTTTTCATCTTCATGTTCTTACTCTTATGTTTTTTTTTTTTCTTATCATTCTTCCTCATTTCACATTCTCATTCTTTGTCAATCATCATCTTCCAGTATCCTTTCTCATCTTCAAAATTTTGGTCCTTTGTTTTTCGAAGTTCTTCTTCATCGCCCATGCTGAAGAGCTTCACTGTTTGAGGTTTCTGATAATATCCATCTTCGTCCTAGTTCATCGTATACGTCTTTCATCTACTTATCCGTCTGATTTTTCTTAGCCTCTTTACTCATCTTCACATACTCATACTTTGTCATTATTATTTTCTGATCTTTTTCTTTATCTTTAACGTCTCTATCTTTGTATTTTCTGAAAATATTTTTCATCCGCTTTGTTCTCTTCTTCCTCCTCTTCCTCCTTTTTCTATCGTTCATTTCTTCATCTTTCTCTTCGTGATCTTTACTTCTACTTTTTCTTCTTTATCCTCTTTGTCTTCTTCGACTTATTTTTCTTCGTCATCTTTTTATAATTTTTCTTTTTTCTGTTATTTGTACTTATCTCATCTACATCATCTTCCACTTCTACTTTATCTTTATATGCTTCCTCTTCTTCATCTCTTTTTTTTCTTGTATATTTTTTTTTCACCATCCTCGTATTCCCCAACTTTTTCTTTGTTTTTTTTGTCATTTTTTACTCATCATCTTCTTCTTCATATTTTTGTCTTATTTAAATAGATATTCTTAATCTTCACATTCCTCTACTTCATCTACATTATTTTTCAGTTTTTTTCTTCTACTACTGCTTTCTCGTTATCTTCCGGTTTTCTTCTTCCTCAATTTCCTCCTCTTATATCTTTATCCCTTTTCTTCATTCAGTGCTATCCATCTTCTTCTTAATCATCAAATGTTTTTTCTTCATCTTCTTAGCAGTGAAACAAATGTTTCATAGGAAAAAATTTATTCGACTCTCTACCATCTGTCACTGCTATAACTTTAATTACGTT